TTTGTTTTTTCATAAGCTAGAGTGATTGTTAAATGTACTGTATTTAATTAGTTAACTGAATTTAGATGATATTAACAATCATAAAATGTGTCTTAAAAGCTGACGAATTCTGTTAAAGTTTTCAAAAAATATTCCACAGAATAGTTTGGAACTAATAGTTTACAAAATCAAAATTCACTAATTAGAAAATTAGTCTCTGTATGTCACTAAGAGTACCTTATTTTCACAGTAAATATAATATTGTAAGGACCACAGAACTTGAATTGGGAATCATATTTTATTTTGATATTTAAAAGAAATGCAAAAAAAACAAAAAAACTTCAGAAACAAATGAGCCAGAGTTCAAAATTGTTCTTGATTTATACATAGGCTTTCAAAACCGTATTACATGTATGATAGATTGTTACATGTTAGTCATTTCAATCTCTAAATTTATGGATGTAGAATAGACCAATTTTTGTTACCAATGTAGACACTATGCATAAGTTGTTGTGTAATAAAAAAATATTGTAATGACTATCTTGAATAAAATAGCTTTTGTTTTATATTTTACGTTCTATCTGATAGTAAGAGTTTGTTTGGAAATAAAAAGAAACTTAGAATGTAAGGTCTTGTAGTGATGTTTTTGTTTTATGTCTGCCCTCTGAATTTATTTAGAAAAGGTTAACATGAAATACGTTATTTTTCAAAATGTACATCGTTACCTTTTGTTAAACAGCTATTATGCTTCCTAATCCACACATTAGCCGAGTTAAACTGTTATATAAACTGTCTAGAAAGGTTTTTGTAGTGATGATAAAAATTGAAGATGATAATCATAAGTTAATTTGCAATGATGAGGTACTAGAATCAGAAAATAGAGTCCTTGGGTAGCAGTTTGATACAGTGTTGGCTCTTTAAAATATATTATATAAATTTAGTAAAGAAAAAACAGCTCATGTCACTATGTGAAAGGTCATTTAATCAACAGCTTTACGTGATAAAAGTTCAAGTAGTCAGTAAACCCATATGTTTAATAGACTGTATCAATAGATTAGTCCAAGATCCTTTATATTACTATTCATATAAGTTACTGATATAAAACTGTTTTTAATTTGCCTTTAAAAATCTTAAAAAGATTTCAGATACATTAAAGTGAACGATATAATTTCATATGCTGATACCAGAGGGCAAGTGTGATGTGAAAAAAGATAATTCTAAAACCTAAATCTTGTAACTTGTTGGTTTGTATTTTTTCAACACATTACTTTGTTTGTACAAATAAATATTCACATGATTTTTGGGCATTTCATAATAATTTGCTATAATCCTTACTTTTAAACTAAAATTATGAAATGAAAACGTTGTTTTTGTAGAAACAAATTAAACAGTAATCCTTGTTGTAAACTCTAAAATAAGAGTAGGTAATAAATGTAGGTGACTTCTCAGATCATGAACCATATCCAGTGATAAATGATCTAAAAATTGCCGTTATACATATGTATACTGTATTTCAGTATTGTAGGTTGCACATTTGGTGTTGCCATGGTAATGGGTGGTATAGCTTTCAGTCTTTTTGTGGCCCATTGCATTTAACATGGTAGTGAAACAGATTTCTGTGACAACTATAGGTATTTCTTTTTTAAAAAGGATGTAACTCATGAATGATAAAGTAAGAAAGTAAAACCTAATAATTATTTTTCAGTTGAAAATTCAACTTTCATGATGTAACAGTCCAAGATTTATATTTGAGTAACCTTTTAGACTAGCACTTTTAAGTCGTTCAAAATATTTAAAGTGAAAATAGTACAAGCACTGCCAAGTATGCTGCTTAATTATGAACATTAATTGTATTAGGCTTCTTACTAAGAGTATGATTACTATACAAGATTATGATCAGGCAATTAGTGAGTTGATTTACCACTACCAAACCAACTTATATCAGTACACTATTTAAGCAGCTTTAATTAATCTTTTTAATTTGTTAAGGTGCATCTGTAAAATATTTTACATAATTATAGATTATATTGTAATATTAATGCACTATTTAGTTGTTTAGCAAAATTACAATGTATCCAGGTTTGCCTCTTTACATATTTAATCTTCTGTCTATGCTCATGCATAGAATACCCAACTTACAGTTTAAACTCTTTATCTGTACAGAATCTTTGCTGTAAAATATTTACTATTCATCACTCTTAACACTCATTTGAAAATGTGAAACTAACTTGCTTATAGAGACTATTAGCATAAGTTAAGTTTTGTAATGACTGTCACAGCAACATCATATAAAATATTGACACCTGCCAACTAAAATTGTAATGCATTATTTCAAAGAATAATTCAGTAATATTTATATTATGTAACAACACAAGTATTTGAAATTTCCTAGAAAAAAAAATAACCAGACATTAAGTCAGATTTGTAATGTAAGTAAAGACATGAAAAAAAAAAAGTTTATTTTTTTAAAAAAGAATCACACATATAAAAATATTATTATACAATAGTCCATATCAGCAGTACTATCAAAATATATTTTCTGTATAATTAATGTTACCTTCTGATCTCAGCAAGCTAACTATAGCAAAACTAAAAATCATTGTAGTAATTACTTTTGGTATCTTCTATAATTACTTTTTTCTGCTGAGTTACATATTTACATGAATTATTGTTTTATCAATAATATGGTTTACTAAATTTTTTGGTTCAATTTAACTGAATGTTCACAGAGTTGGTCCATTGGACTGTATTGGAGAAGAAATGTTGACTATAATTTTGAATTT